CTACCTGTTCTAAATAGTAATATATTGAAAGATTTCAACAATAAAAACAAAAGGGAAGGATGAAATATTTACTTAGGAAGCCAAATATGGTTAAGAGAGAAAGGAAGGTGGGGTAGGGAATTGGAGGAGTTGGTACTACTAACTGAAGTAGATGGCATGGATGGATAGATAGATGTAGATATAAATAAAATTCATCAGTTGACATCATTTCATTGAATAATGCTACAATGCTTTACCACATTTCAGGTGTCAGGATAGATGCCTGTTGGGGTTTCTTTATAAATATAACTATGTTTTGTTTTCGTCCATTGCTGTTAAACTAGCTTTTGGAGTGCATGAGGAAGACCCTGGACAGTGTGGCAAATAGCTTCATTGCTGAAGAATTCCTGGCACAATTAGAGAACCTATTCCTTTCAACCTATAAGAATGAGGAGTGGAATGATGCTGCTGAAGAAAATACCACGTGCCCAAACAACCTACCCATATAATGGTACTGAAAAGTATTATCAGTCACTTTAAAATGAGGCTGCAATGCACAAGAATGACAGGATCTATTGTGGCTGAAGAAAATGATAGTTAAAGATGAAACGAAGCAATCATGGCAAACTATGTGACCTCTTACATGGACTCCCTACAAACTATGTGACGTGAATAGAACAATTGCCCCATGTTGGTAGCTTACTGATAATATACCAGTTCAATCTGGTTTTTGCAACACTGCTGTGCAGTCTGTTCCATTCTTCAATGGAAATTCTCTGAGGTGTTAGCAAACATATTTGTCCAATTAATAAATTCAGCTGTGTTGTATGTATATTGCTGAGAGCTGAAAGAAAGGAAAGAACAATATCTTTCATGCATGCAAGTGTTAGTATCCCACATGGTCAGTTCCTGCCTTGAGTGTCAGTTTTTGATGCATGTTCAGTCCAGTCTTGTTAAATTGAACAGCATATGAAGATCAGAAGAATACTCAATCATGCCAAATCTTGTTAACTAAATACAGATTGTAGATTTACAAAATTGGCTGTGTCCGTAGAATAAGACATTCCTGCTCAGTGGTCAGAAAATGAGGGGAAAAAACACCTGTTGAGCATGGCTTGCTGAATATTATTGAAGATAAAAAAATTGGTAAGGCTATTCCCCAGAAATTTAGTATTTATGTACTAAAATATAATAATAATAATAATAATAATAATAATAATAATGCAAAGACTCTGGCACAAACCAGTAAAGGTGGTCCCAGTGGTGATCGGCACACTGGATGCAGTGCCTAAAGACCTTGGCCTGCACTTAAACACAATCGGCGCTGACAAAATTACCATCTGCCAGCTGCAGAAGGCCACCTTACTGGGATCTGCACGCATTATTCGCCGATACATCACACAGTCCTAGACACTTGGGAAGTGTCCGACGTGTGATCCAATACAACAGCCGGCAGAGTAATCTTGTTTGCTGTGGACTCATCTTGTTGTGTTTATTTCTAATAGTAATAGTAATAATAATAATAATAATAATAATAATAATAATAATAATCTGTCAGGTATACTTTGATTGTGCTTTTCCTGCATGACAAGGGGTTAGACTACATGGCCCATGTGGTCTCTTCCAACTCTATGATATTATTATTATTATTATTATTATTATTATTATTATTATTATTATTGACATACCCGGTGTTGCTTGGGTATCGTTGGGACTGCTGCCTGTCTTTCTCTTCCTTCCCTTCCCTCTCCTCATAACTTTTCCCTTCTTTTTCTTCCTTCCTTCCCTCTTTTTTCTTTCTCCCCTCCCTTTCTATCCTTTTTCTCTTTCCTTCCTTCCTTCCTTCCTTCCTTCCTTCCTTCCTTCCTTCCTTCCTTTTTTCCTCTCTCCCTCCCTTTCTCACGTTCCCTCTCTGAGGGCCACTTCACCTAGCAACATGCCTTCTTCTCTTCTAGATAAATCGATGGATAGATAGATTTCTATTCTCTTTTGATTCAACTCTTTGCACTTTAATCAAGAGATAAAAGTGGAATATAAATAAGAATAAATACAACAGCAACAACAACAATAGTATATAAAGGACACAAAGGAGCCAAAAGCCTCAGAAGGATTAAAAGAACAATAGTATCAGATGGGCCTTATTTTGTAAAGCCAGATCTTGCTATGTAAGTGCAAATTGTAGATTTGCAAACTTTGCTATTAGTGTATAATAAGAAGTTATTGCTCAGTAGTCAGAAAATGATGAACATAGCTTGCTGAGTATTATTAAAATACAAAATATGTAAAAGACGCAATGAAGCCAAAGAAACCCCAGAAGAATTTGGCTGTGCTTGTAGGATTCCTGCTCAGCGGCTAGAAAATGAGAAAAAACCTGCCAAGCATAGCTTGCTGGATATATTATTTAAACTAAAAAATGTAGTAAGACTATTCCCCAGAAATACATACCATAATAATAATAATAATAATAATAATAATAATAATAATAATAATAATAATGTATATACCCGGCGTTGCCTGGGTATCATTGGGACTGCTGCCTGTCTTTCTCTTCTTTTCCTTCCCTCTCCTAATACCCTTTCCCCTTTCTTTATTCCCTTTCCTCCCTCCTTTTTCCTCCCCCTTCTTTCCTTTTTTTCTTTCTTCCCTGCTCCCTCCTTCTCTCTCTTCCTTCTTTTCTTTCATCCATCTTTCCTTTCTTTCTTTCTTTCTTTCTTTCTTTCTTTCTTCTTCTTCTTCTTTCCTTCTTTCCTCTCCCTCCTCCCTTCTCTTCTTCCCTTTCTTCCCTTCCTCCCTTTCTTTTCTTTACTTCCTTCCTTCTCCTTCCTTTCCTTCTTTTCCCTCCTTCCCTTCCTTCCTGTCCCTCCTTTTTTCTCCTTTCCTTCTTCTTTCCTTTTTTCTTTTTTTCTTCTTTTCTTCCTTCTCTTCCTCTTTTCCTTTCCTTTCCTTTTCTTCCTTTTCTTTCTTCTTCTTTCTTTCTTCCATCTTCTATTCCTTTTTTTCCCTGTTTTTCTTTCTTTCCCTCCTTCCTTCCTTTCCACTTTTCTTTCTTCCCTCCTTTGTTTCTTTCATTTTCTTTCCTTCGATTATTCTCATTCCACCTATACCCTTCACTACTGCACAGCACAGAGCCAGGCCCACTTCATCCTAACCAACAACTTGTAGACAAACATGTGACCTACTATACAGTGACTTTGAGAAGATCATAGTTTATATCCCTTTTTTATGTCTTGATTCAGCTGCTTTGCACTTTAATCAAGATATAAAAGTGGAATATAAATAAACATAGATACACTAATAACAATATATAAATATATAAAAGACACAACAGAACCAAAAAGCCTCAGAAGGATTAAAAGAAACATAGTATCAGATGGGCCTTGTTTTGTGAAGGAATCTAAATGCAAATTATAGATTTACAAAAAATTGTAGATTAAAAAAAGATTTACAAAACTGCTATAAAACGTTCTTGCTCAGTGGCCAGAAAATGAGGAAAGGTTACTGAGCGTAGTTTGCTGACTATTATAGAGTAAGAATAGTCCCCAGAAAACTCAAGAAATACATACTAAAATACAAAACATGTAAAATACACAATGGAGCCAAAAAAGCCCCAGAGGAATTAAAATAACAATAATATTATCGTCCTTGTGAAGCCAAGTCTGTGGAAGCAACTGAAATCCACTCTTACCTACTTTAGTCCTTGGCTTTGCTAGGCCAGGTGTAATTAATCCGGCATGCTAGTTGTGCGTCGTGGTATTTAACAACATATCCATCGAAGTATGCATGATAATGCCCTTTTTTCCTAAATGGATTAAAATATATATTCCATCCAGTGGTCAGCATAATAAAGACTCCAGAATCATAGTAAAGTAAGTGAAGTTGTCTCAATGTGGCTGGAATCCTTTGGGTTAATTTCTATTGGAGTTGACCTATTGAGGAAAACTAGTCCGGACTAAGAAAATGATTTAGTTTTGTCCCTAAATGTTATATCTGTTGCTTATGCTATAACCACTCATTTGTTATAGTGAAAGACTATAGAACAGGCATGGGCCAACTTGGGCCCTCCAGGTGTTTTGGACTACAACTCCCACAATTCCTAACAGCCTACCGGCTGTTAGGAATTCTACAACTCCCACAATTCCTAACAGCCAAGTTGGCCCACGCCTGCTCTATAGTATGGTGCCAAGTGATATTTCAAAGACTCTTCTTTTTATATATATATAAAAATAATGTATACATCCATGTTGTAAATGTGTGTTGTAAATATTGTGTATTTGTACAGAAAAGACTCAATATGTTTACTTGACATCCCCCCCCCTTTCATGTAAAAGCACAGTGGAGAGATGTCCGCCTCGTAATAATACATTTTATCTCAATAATCAGGAGTAAAACCCATAAAACTATGGAAAATAATTCTTCTCGCAGCCATATTTCAATAAACTGTGGAAATGTTTCAACTGTTATGTTCCCTTGTTTTAAATGGGTATTTTTGGTACATCAGAAAACGAGAGATTTTGCATGAAATTAGTATAGATTTCTTTTGTTTTTAAGTTTGAATTTTGTGGCCTGCCTTTGAAGATATTGAGTGCGTCTGCGCTGTAGAATTAATGTAGTTTTGACACCACTTCAGCAAAATCACAAATGGGTCTCGATTTATCTACAAAGAGCAAGTTTTTTAGTGCTTTCAGTCATTTTAATTGTATGTTTTAATTCTATTTAACCGCTTTAAGTTGCCTAAGGGCTGAGAAAAGCGGTATATAAATGAAGCAAACAAACAAACAAACAAATTTGAATATCTGTATATTTAAATATCTGTATAACTTGATTTTTTTTAAAAAAAATACTGTGGGTCTTTGTGGGATATAAATATTCCAAATAAATATTGTCTCCTGTGCTATTCTCATAACATAACATAATATAATATAATATAATATGTATACATATTATATTATATTATATTATAATGCAATGCAATATAATAATAATAATAATAATAATAATAATAATATGATATTATAATTATATATTTATATTCCATGTAATATTACTAATAATATTACGATATAGTCGTGTGGTGCAATATAGCAATGTTTAATGCTGATATTGTACTATGCTAATAAGCTAAAATTTTGTATGTAATATATACCTTGTAAGCCCCTCTGAGTCCCCTTCAGGGTGAGAAGGGCGGCATAATAATGTCGTTAATAAATAAAAAATTATTATTATTAATAATAATAATAATAATAATAATAATAATAATAATACAGTGGGTTGCTGTGAGCCTGTCTGATTGCTAACTGGAGGAATCCTTTGTTGGGAGATGTTAGTTGGCCCTGATAGGAGCCCCCGGTGGCGCAGTGGGTTCAACCTTTGTGCCGGCAGGACTGAAGACCGACAGGTCACAGGTTTGAATCCAGGGAGAGTGCGGATGAGCTCCCTTTGTCAGCTCCAGCTCTCCAAGCGGGGACATGAGAGAAGCCTCCCACAAGGATGGTAAAACATCAAAAACATCCGGGTTTCCCCTAGGCAATGTCCTTACAGATGGCCAATTCTCTCTCACCAGAAGCGACTTGCAGTTTCTCAAGTTGCTCCTGACATAAAAAAGCTGGCCCTGATTGATTCTTTACTAGAATTCCCCTGCTTTTTGAGTGTTGGCTTTATTTACTATTCTAATTCTAGAGGGTTTTTTTTAAATACTGGTAGCCAGATTTTGTTCATTTTCATGGTCTCCTCCTTTCTGTTGAAATTGTCCACATGCTTGTGTATTTCAATGGCTTCTCTGTGTAGTCTGACATGGTGGTTGTGAGCATGGTCCAGCATTTGTGTTCTCAAATAATATGCTGTGTCCAGGTTGGTTCATAGGAGCCCCCGGTGGCGCAATGGGTTAAACCCTTGTACTGGCATGACTGAATCAGAGGTTCAAATCTGGGAAGAGCTCGAATGAGCTCCCTTTGTCAGCTCCAGCTCCTCATGCAGGGACATGAGAGAAGCCTCCCACAAGGGTGGTAAACATAAAAAAAATCAGTGCATGCCCTGGGCAACATCCTTGCAGAGACTCTCACAACAGATGCACCTTGCGGTTTCTCAAGTCGCTGCTGACATGGGGGAAAAAAAGGTTGGTTCATCAGGTGTATATGTGTTTTGTGTGTGTGTATATTCGTATATGTGTGTGTATATATATTTGTGTTTGTGTATATATGTGGTTTTGTGCATGCGTTATAAAGTATTTTTGGGGTTTTTGGCTCTTTTAAGTCCCTTCCACTGTGTTTTTCAATGTTTTTATGAGTGATGGTCACTCGTTGCCCTGATATGTGTCTTGTGTCCAAATTTGGTGTCATTTTGCCCAATGGTTTTTCAGTTATGTTAATCCCACAAACGAACATTACATTACATTTATTTATATATATATAATTTTTATATATATAAATAAAAATTACACTGTCTAGCTGGTATTGCACCACCTGACATCTGCCAGGAAGTAGCAGCCAATAGTGAAAGGACCAAGGCAGAGACATCTCCAGCTCATCCCCTGTTTGGGTATCAGCCAGCACGTCAATGACTTAAATCAAGAAATAGTTTTCTAAGATCTACAGAGACACTCGCTGGAACACCCCAGCAAGCTAGAGCCTCATCGCTGAGCCTGGAACCTCAGGTCTCGGCGGTGGTCAGGGGAGCTTTTGCACAATTAAAACTTGTGCGCCAGCTGTGCCTGTACCTTGGGAAGTCTGGTCTGACTTGGCCACGGTGGTCCACGCTCTGGTTACATCCCGTTTAGACTACTGCAATGCTCTCTACGTGGGGTTGCCTCTGAAGACTGCCCGGAAGCTTCAATCAGTCCAACGTGCGGCAGCCAGATTGCTAACAGGAGCAGGGTACAGAGACCATACGACCCCTCTGTTACGCCAGCTCCACTGGCTGCCGATCAGCTTCCGGGCACAATTCAAAGTGCTGGTTTTGACCTATAAAGCCCTAAACGGCTCTGGCCCAGTTTACCTGTCTGAACGGATTCTTCCCCTATGAACCATCAAGGTTATTAAGATCTTCCGGGGAGGGCCTGCTCTCGGTCCCACCACCCTCGCAATCACGGTTGGTGGGGACGAGGGACAGGGCCTTCTCGGTGGTGGCTCCCCGGCTTTGGAACTCCCTCCCACTAGAGATTAGATCTGCTCCCTCCCTCCTGACTTTCAGGAAACTACTAAAGACCTGGCTCTGGAATGTGGCATTCGAGGACTGAATCTATAACCTCCGTCCACAAGGAAGGAGGATGATGAACTGTGACTATGATTATGACTATGACTGGATTGACGACTTGGCTTGGGTAATTGTGATGATGATGTTTTTATTGTACTTTATTGTACTATTTTAATCTGTAATGACGTTGCACTTTGTTGTACTTATATATTATTGTACTTTCATATATGCTGTAAACCGACCTGAGTCCATCGCTGAGGTGAGAAGGCCGGTATAGAAAACTTCTAAATAAATAAATAAATAGAGTCCAAAAGTGGCAGGCTCAAACCCAGAACCTCAACCAATGGCTGATACCAAATGAGAGACTCCCTGGGCACACAGAAACTGGGCAACTTGGAAGGCGCTGAACAGACTGCGCTCTGGCACCACGAGATGCAGAGCCAATCTTAAGAAATGGGGCCACAAAGTGGAATCCACGACATGCGAGTGCGGAGAAGAGCAAACCACAGACCACCTGCTGCAATGCAACCTGAGCCCTGCCACATGCACAATGGAGGACCTTCTTGCGGCAACACCAGAGGCACTCCAAGTGGCCAGATACTGGTCAAAGGACATTTAACCAACTACCAAACTCACAAATGTTGTATTTTATCTGTTTGTTTGCTTTGTTCTGTTAGAAATGTAATATAATTGACTGGTTGATCTGACACGACAAATAAAATGTGACACGACAAATAAAACACACACACACACACACAAAATATTATAAATAATATTATAAATAAAATAAATAAGATTTTTTCCTGTCTCTATGAAAAGTCCTCAGCCCAAAACATAGCATATTTGGAACCCCTACTTTAATATATATATATACACACACACACACACACACATATATATATATAGTAGGAAAGCCAAAATATTATAAATAATATTATAAATAAAATAAATAAGAATGGTTCTTGTCTCTGTGAAAAGTCCTCAGCCCCAAATATAGAATGTTTGGCTTCCCTACTTTCTTTTTTTATATATATATAAAATATATATATAATATATAAAATATATATAATATATATATAAAATATATATATAATATATAAAATATATATAATATATATATATAATATATATATAATATATAATATAATATATTTATATATATATATATAAAATATATATATAATGTATATAATAATATATATATAAACATATATATAATATATTTTATATATATATAAAATATATATATAATATTTGAATATATATTTTATATATATATATTCAAATATCTATCCCTTTATAATAAGGAATTTGTGAAATGTAAGCTTTCCCGCCATCTATTTAAATTAAATAAGAATGGCAAAATAAGGGGAGGAGCGTTGGATTAAAAGGGGCGTGGTTTTACGGGATGGCCAATCATGGGGCACCTTTCAACGCATCACGTGACGGCGGTAGCGGCAAGGGGGGCGGAGTTATGTCTGAGGAAACAAGGGAATGGGAGAGGGAAGAAAAGGACCTCTTTTGTACGGGCCGGCCAATCAGAAGCCTCGCTTATGAATCACGTGGGAGGACTACAAAAAGGGGCGGGGTTATGTGTGAGGAAAAGAGCAAGAATGAAAGTGTGTAGAGAGGAAAGGGGCGTGTTTTGGTGGTCACGCCCCCTTTCTCTCCCTCTCTTCCAATCAGAGACTCCTCTCCGCGTCACGTGGGAGGGTGGGAGTAGGAAAAGGGCAGTTGGGGAACCAAGGCAACGGTTGCACGCGCGAGGGGGAGGAGCCTAAGCCAGCCTTTGCTGTTTTGGCCTCCTGCTTGTAAGTAACCAGTTGGGAGTAGCATTATATTGGCATTGAATGGCTTCAGCATGGTTTAAATGCCTATGTCTTTTAATATATATGTTTGCAAAGGTTTTATGTTATTAGTCTATACATTGAAAGGTTTTATCTATGCACTTTAATTAATTAAATTTAATTTAAAGGTTTTATCTATTCATTTTAATTTAATTTTAAGCTTTAAGGAGAGAGGGTAAGAATTCAAACTTATTGTATTGTCTAAGGATATCATGCCTGGAATCACTGGGTTGCAGTACTTTTCTGGGCTGTTTCTCCATGTTCCAGCAGCATTCTCTCCTGACATTTCGCCCACATCTATGGCAGGCATCCTCAGAGGTTGTGAGGTTTGTTGGAAACTAGGAAAATTGGGTTTATATATCTGTGGAGTGTCTCAGACATCAGAAGAGCTGCAAGACCAAGAACAAGCCACGAGAGTAAAGATGAAGATCCACCCAAAGGAAAAGTGTTCCTGCCATACATCACGGGAACCACTGACCGCCTAGGAAAGCTGATGAGGAAACACAACATACAAACTATCTACAGACCCACCAAGAAAATCCAACAAATGCTACGTTCAGCAAAGGACAAGAGGGATCCTCTCACTTCTGCAGGAGTCTACCGTATACCATGCAGCTGTGGACAAGTCTACATAGGGACCACCAAACGCAGCGCCCAGACACGCATCAAGGAACATGAAAGGCACTGCAGACTCCTTCAACCAGAGAAATCAGCCATAGCAGAGCACCTGAGGAACCAACCTGGACACAGCATATTATTTGAGAACACAGAAATGCTGGACCACTCCAACAACCACCATGTCAGACTACACAGAGAAGCCATTGAAATCCACAAGCATGTGGACAATTTCAACAGAAAGGAGGAGACCATGAAAATGAACAAAATCTGGCTACCAGTATTAAAAAACTCTAAAATTACTACAGCAAAACAGCAGAGAGGAAACAACCAGGCACATCTTAACACCTCTCAACAGAACATTTTCCCAGGCTCAGCCAAGTCTTCAAATGCTAATGAAGGTGGTCAGCTGAAACATTCACACCTAGCTTCTTCAGAGAGAGCTCTTTGCCCCACCCCAGTCATTCCACAGATATATAAACCCATTTTCCTATTTCCAACAGACCTCACTACCTCTGAGGATGCTTGCCATAGATGCAGGCGAAACGTCAGGAGAAATGCCTCTAGAACATGGCCCTATAGCCCGAAAAAACCTACAAGAACCATTGTAGTTTCATTTAGCAGGTAGGTGTGAATGTTTCAGTTGGCCACCTTGATTAGCATTTAATGGCCTAGCAGTTTCAAGGTGTGGCTTCTTACTGCCTGGGGGAATACTTTGTTGAGAGGTGATGAGCTGGCCCTGATTATTTCTTGTCTGGAACTCCCCTGTTTTTGAGGAAAATTGGGTTTATATACCTGTGGAAAGCCCAGGGTGGGAGAAAGAACTCTTGTCTGTTGGAGGCAAATGTGAATGTTGCCTTGATTAGCCTTGTAGCTTCAAAGCCTGGCTGGTTGCTGCCTGGGGGGAATCCCTTGTTGGCTACCCTCTATCCCCACAAGAAGCTAATATAATTAATAAAGGACTGAGTTATGTACCATCTGGAATATTGTGTCCGATTCTGGGCACCACAATTCAAGAGAGATATTGACAAGCTGGAATGTGTCCAGAGGAGGGCGACTAAAATGATCAAGGGTCTGGAGAACAAGCCCTATGAGGAGCGGCTTAAGGAGCTGGGCATGTTTAGCCTGAAGAAGAGAAGGCTGAGAGGAGACACGATAGCCATGTATAAATATGTGAGAGGAAGCCATAGGGAGGAGGGAGCAAGCTTGTTTTCTGCTTCCCTGGAGACTAGGACGCAACGGAACAATGGCTTCAAACTACAAGAAAGGAGATTCCATCTGAACATGAGGAAGAACTTCCTGACTGTGAGAGCCGTTCAGCAGTGGAACTCTCTGCCCCGGAGTGTGGTGGAGGCTCCTTCTTTGGAAGCTTTTAAACAGAGGCTGGATGGCCATCTGTCAGGGGTGATTTGAATGCAATATTCCTGTTTCTTGGTAGAATGGGTTGGACTGGATGGCCCATGAGGTCTCTTCCAACTCTTTGATTCTATGATTCTATGATTAGCCTTTTAGCTTCAAAGCCTGGCTGGTTGCTGCCTGGGGGAATCCCTTGTTGACTGCCCTCTATCCCCACAAGAAGCTAACATAATTAATAAAAGACTGAGTTATGTACCTAGGCCTGAATTTAATTTATTTCATACCAAGAGTAAATTCTTTTCTCACACAGACAACATAATGATGATTAGATAATTTGAAAGGGTGGTAGAAAGAGATTAGGATATACTGCCTCACACCAAAACTATGATACATTACAATATGACTAGAACAGAAATAAACACTATTAGAAGACTGACTAATATGCCTAACCCTTAACTAATAATAATAATAAACTTTATTTAATACCCCGCCACCATCTCCCCAATGGGGATTCGGGGCGGCTTACTAATAATGCTACAGTATAATTGATATAGTACAACATTGCAATATTTAAAACTGATATTGTACTATGCTAATAATAAATAGTATATATATATACCTTGTAAGCTACTCTAAGTCCCTTTCGGGGTGAGAAGGGTGGCATATAAATGTCATAAATAAATAATAAATATTGTTTCATCTGAAACAGTTTTTAAAATTGACTCCCAATAAAAAAAATCTCTAAAATCAGCAAAACAACACTTAAAAAACGGGGGAATTACAATCAAGAATCAATCAAGACCAGCTAACATCTCCCAACAAAGGATTCCCCAGGCAACAACCAGGCATGCTTTGAAGCTGCAAGGCCATTCAATGCTAATCAACGTGGCCAATTGCAACATTCTTTCTTGCCTCAAGCAGACAAGAGTTTTTTCTCCCACCCTAGACATTATTCCACAGATAAGAATATATATACCCCACTTGCAATGATAATAATAATAATAATAATAATAATAATAATAATAATAATAATAAACAAAACAAGGAAATTCCAGTCATGAATTAATCAGTGGGTTGTTGTAGGTTTTTTCAGGTTATATGGCCATGTTCTAGAGGCATTCTCTCCTGACATTTTGCCTGCATCTATGGCAAGCGTGAGGAGATGCAGGCGAAACGTCAAGAGAGAATGCCTCTAGAACATGGCCATATAGCCCGAAAAAACCTACAACCCAGTGATTCCGGCTATGAAAGCCTTCGACAATACAATGAATTAATCAGGCCCACCTAACACTGCCCCACAAGGATTCCCCCAGGCAGGAAGCATCCAGGCTTTGAAGCTGCAAGGCCATTCAGTGCTAATCAAGGTGGCAAATTGAAACATTCACACCCATTTCCAACAGACAAGAGTACTTTCTCCCACCCTGGCCATTCGACAGATATATAAACCCTGTTTTCCTAGTTTCCAACAGACCTCACACCTCTGAGGTTGCCAGGCATAGATTCAGGCAAAACGTTAGGAGAGAATGCTTCTGGAAAATTGCCATAACAGCCTGAAAAACTTACAGCAACCTATTCAAACTTATTATTTGTGTGTAGTAGTAGTAGTTACAATGACATTAATGATATATTTGTGTTTGTTTTCCTTCTTTTTAGTGCTGACTCTCCAGAAATGATCGAATCAGTCCAAATAAGGAGGCAGTGCAGCCTGGACTTTTACTCTCATTATGAGCACCTGTGTGCAGTTCAAGGCTGCGCTCCCCTCGTGTCCGTGCAGGCCAAAAAGCCTGAAGGCGTGATCGATATAAACGCAGATCGTATCAAAGGTGCAGACTGGTTGCCTCTCCTGGCTGCGCTCAGGCACAACAAGACCTTGACTTCGATCGCCATCAAGAGCTTGCACCATCAGGGGCATGCAGACCCAGGTAGGGACTCTTTTAATGGCAATTGGTCATGCTATCTTGGTTGTTGAAGGTTTTCATGGCCAAATCACTGGGTTGCTGTGAGTTTTCCAGGCTGTAGGGCCATGTTCCAGTAGCATTTTCTCCTTATGTTTTGCATGCATCTGTGACTGGCATCTTCAGAGGTAGGAACCCCTAGTGTTGCAGTGGGTTAAACCCTTGTGCCAGCAGCAGGGAAGACGGAGAGGTTTGAGGCTTAAATCAGGGAAGAGTAGGGATGAACTCCCTCTGTCAGCTCCAGCTCCCCATGCGGGGACATGAGAGAAGCGTCCTTCAAAGATGGTAAAACATCAAAACATCCAGGCATCCTCTGGACAACGTCCTTGCAGACAGCCAATTCTCTCACAGCAGAAGCGAGTTGCAGTTTCTCAACTCACTCCTGACATGAAAAAAAAAATATTCAGAGGTCTGTTGGAAATGAGGCAAGTGGGGTACATATCTGCAGAATGTCCTGGGTGAGAGAAAGAATCCTTGTCTGTTTGAAGCAACAATGACCAGGCTTTGCAGCTGCAAGGCTACTCAATGCTAATCAAGCTGGTTAATTGCAACATCCACACTTGCTTCAAACAGCCAATCAATCCAGCTGAAAATGAATCTTATTGCAAAGACAAAATGGCATGATGGGCTGCCAAGGTAAAATTTTAATTTGATATTATTTATTTATTTGCAACATTTATATGCCACCCTTCTCACCCCAAAGGGGACTCAGAGCGTTTTACAAGAGATATATACACACACACACACACACACACACACACACTTCTTGTTGTTGTTGTTCATTCGTTCAGTCGTCTCCGACTCTTCGTGACCTCATGGACCAGCCCACTCCAGAGCTTCCTGTCGGCCGTCACCACCCCCAGCTCCTTCAAGGTCAGTCCAGTCACTTCAAGGATGCCATCCATCCATCTTGCCCTTGGTCGGCCCCTCTTCCTTTTGCCTTCCACTTTCCCCAGCATAATTGTCTTCTCTTGGCTTTCCTGTCTCCTCATGATGTGGCCAAAGTACTTCAACTTTGTCTCTAGTATCTTTCCCTCCCGTGAGCAGTCGGGCTTTATTTCCTGGAGGATGGACTGGTTGGATCTTCTCGCAGTCCAAGGCACTCTCAGACACTTTCCTCCAACACCACAGCTCAAAAGCATCGATCTTCCTTCGCTCAGCCTTCCCTAAGGTCCAGCTCTCACATCCGTAGGTGACTACAGGGAATACCATGGCTTTGACTAGGCGGATCTTTGTTGCCAGTCTGATATCTCTACTCTTCACTATTTTATCGAGACTGGACATTGCTCTCCTCCCAAGAAGTAAGCGTCTTCTGATTTCCTGGCTACAGTCTGCATCTGCAGTAATCTTTGCACCTAGAAATACAAAGTCTGTCACGGCCTCCACGGTTTTCTCCCTCTATTTTCCAGTTGTCAATCATTCTTGTTGCCATAATCTTGGTTTTTTTGATGTTTAGCTGCAACCCGGCTTTTGCGCTTTCTTCTTTCACCTTGATTAGAAGGCTCCTCTGCTCCTCCTCGCTTTCGGCCATCAGAGTGGTGTCATCTGCATATCTGAGGTTGTTAATGTTTCTTCCAGCAATTTTCACCCCAGCTTTGCATTCATCCAGCCCCGCACATCTCGCATGATGTGTTCTGCATACAAGTTAAAAGGTTGGGTGAGAGGATGCAGCCTTGCCGGACGCCTTTCCCAATCTTGAACCAGTCTGTTGTTCCGTGGTCAGTTCTGACTGTTGCTACTTGGTCCTTGTACAGATTCCTCAGGAGAGAGGGAAGGGGGCTTGGGATGCCCATCCCACTAAGAACTTGCCACAATTTATTATGATCCACACAGTCAAAGGCTTTAGAAGAGTCAATGAAGCAGAAGTAGATGTTTTTCTGAAACTCCCTGCCTTTCTCCATTATCCAGCAGATATTGGCAATTTGGTCTCTCGTTCCTCTGCCTTTTCTAAACCCAGCTTGAACATCTGGCAACTCTCTCTCCATGTATTGCTGGAGTCTTCCTTGCGATCTTGAGCATTACCTTACTGGCATGAGAAATAAGGGCCACTGTACGGAATTTGAGCAGTCTTTCGCATTTCCCTTTTTTGGTATGGGGATATAAGTTGATTTTTTCCAGTCTGATGGCCATTCTTGTGTTTTCCATATTTGCTGGCATATGGCATGCATCACCTTGGCAGCATCATCTTTTAAGATTTTAAACAGTTCAGCTGGGATCCCGTTGTCTCCTGCTGCCTTGTTGTTAGCAATGCTTCTTAAGGCCCATTCAACCTCACTCCTCAGGATGTCTGGTTCTAATTCATTCACCACACCGTCAACTATCCTCAATATTATTATCCTTCCTATACAGATCTTCTGTATAGTCTCGCCACCTTCTCTTGATCTCTTCACTACACTTGAACTACACGTGCATCTTTGTTTCTTATCATACCAATTTTTGCCTGAAATTTACCTCCAATCTTTCTAATTTTCTGGAAGAGGTCTCTTGTCCTTCCTATTCTGTTGTCTTCTTCCACTTCCATGCATTGCTTATTTAAAAATAGTTCCTTATCTCTTCTGGCTAACCTCTGGAATTGCGCATTTAACTGGGCATATCTCCCCTTATCACTGTTTCCTTTTGCTTTCCTCCTTTCTTGGGCTACTTCCAGTGCCTCAGCAGACAACCATTTTGCCTTCTTGGTTTTCTTTTTCTTTGGAACGTACTTTGTACGTACACTCTTCTATATATATATAAATGCTTTGTGTGTAATGAGTACCTTAAAAACAGAAGAACCAATTTGGCAACAAAACATCTCACAACACAAGGAGTGACCATCACTCAAAAATTTATGATTTTGTCATTTTGAGGGGTGTAGTTGCTGGGATTTATAGTTCACCTACAATCAAAGAGCATTCTGAACTCCCAGATGGAATTGTACCAAACTTGGCACACAGAACTCACATGACCAACAGAAATACTGGAAGGGTTTGGTGGGCATTGACCTTGAGTTTTGGAGTTGTAGTTCACCTACATCCAGAGAGCACTGCGGACTCAAACAATGATGGATCTGGACCAAACTTGGCACAAGCACTCAATATGCCCAAATATGAACACAGATGGAGTTTGGGGGAAATAGACCTTGACATTTGGGAGTTGTAGTCACTGGGATTCACAGTTCACCTACAATCAAAGAGCATTCTGAACCCCACGAACGACAGAATTGGGGCAGACTTCCCACACAGAACCCCCATGACCAACAGAAAATACTTAAGGCCATCCAGTCCAACTCCCTTCACCAGGGCAAGAAAACGTAATCAAAGCCCTCCTGACAAAGAGCCATCCAGCCATAGATATAGAAAGATATATATGATTCACACACACAGAGATATAGTATCATAGATTTGAAAGGGACCCCTAAAGAAAGACAATGATATGTTGCATGTTCCAGAGTGGGCAAACCAGACACTCGCCACATCAACACTGACAAAGAAACAGCAAGAAATACTGTTTACTCACAAGCATAAAGGAATTACATATATTAGAAACTCAACACTTTTTCATTACTTTATTTTCCAGATCAACAGACTGGGCCACAGCAATGCATGGCAAGGGATAGCTAGTATATTATATTATTAGCATAGTACAATATCAGTATTAAATAGTACTATATTGTATTATACCATTATATTGTAATATTATTAGTAATATTACATGTAATATAAATATATAATTATAATATAATATTGCATTATATTACAAATATTATATGAATCTACAATGTATTATATTACAGTACATTATATTATTAGAATAGCACAGGAGACAAGATGGAACTGTCTTCTGCCCCCCTCTCTCTTCACTCTGGCCCAGTTGGTGCTGCGGGGAGGGGTCTGATATGAATTGAATGTCATCTGTGTACTCACATTAAATGTCGTTTAATTTGCTGTTCTTTGGCAGGTAGTGAAAGACAGGGGCCACATATAAAAAGGAGAATTCCGGCTATTCGATCTAAAGACTTGACCAACCAACTGTGTAAAGCGATCAAAGGCTGTTTGATGATCTCAAGTTCACTGAAAAATCTGGAACTACAGGGGTTGCTTCTGAGGGAAAAAGACTTGGCGTTATTGACGAAAGTAAGGCTGCTCGGTTGTAACAAATGAGTGTGAGGAAAAGGGGGCCGCTCTGTGCCTGCTTCAAAGTGATGTGTGTGCTTTGCTTTGCAGGGGTTGGATAACACCACTTCTTTAGAAGAACTGTCTCTGGCCCATTCCCCAATTGGTGATGGAGGGGCCGAAAGTAAGTTCCCAGCTTAATAGAATGGGATGTGAAACCAGTTTTTTAAAAATTGACTATATTTAGCCTATTAGAGATGGCAACTTGAAGTTATATAAATAGTTAAATGTCTTCTTTGTTTTCAGTCATTTGCCAAAGTGTGAAGAACTCAACGTGCATCAAATCTGTAGATTTTACAGGTTGTAGTTTGACTTGGCGAGGAACAGAACACATTGCCGGCATCCTAAAGGTAAAATTGGTTTTCATGAAATGGGTTTTGAAGTTGGTTTTTGACTCAGAGTGACATTTGCATGTTTTGATTTAAATGTATTGGTCAACTTGTTTTGTGTTACATTTTTTATTTTGATACTTTGTTTTACAGTTGTATGATGTAGTTTTGTATTTCATTACTCCTTTCTTTCTTTTCTGTTTGTGTTTGTATGTACATATTTTAGATTGCATGCCTTTGGCAGGAGGACCCACTGTTTTTTGTTGTTTTACTTATACAGCTGTATGTACATAGATGCTATATAAACAAACAATATTAAGTGATGATGATATAATAAGCATAAACTGTGGAAAAACCAATAATAGCAACAGGAAAAATAAGAGACATATCTCAAGACTGGGTTGTTGTATTTTTTTGGGGCTATTTGGCCATGTTCTAAAAGCATTCTCTCCTGACGTTTTGCTTGCATCTATGGCAAGTATCCTCAGAGGTTGTGGGGTTGTATGCATCTACAACAACCCAGTGATTCCACCCATAAAAGCCTTTGACAATACATATCTCAAGACTCATAAAATGCTGTGTCTGATAGTTGAAAAGCTTGATACATTTCAGCCTATAGATCTGTGGTTTCCAACCTTTTTTTGACCAGGGACCACTTTGACCAGGGACCGCTCTCCAACATTAATATCAAAAGAGTTACGAATCAGTTTTTGGTCAACTTTAGATTCTGTTTGGTTATTTGGGGTGCTGATTCATTAAATTGCATTAGATAGACCACATCCAGTAGTCACCATCTGCTCGGCCACAGAAAACCATATTTAATATGCTTTGGCACTATAAGAGGGTTTTGTGAGACCAGTTGCTCTCGTTGCAACAGTGTGGTAATGGTGAGGCCGCAGACCATATTTTAGTTCTTGCAAACTATTGGTCATCTATGGATCACAGCTTAGGATCCACTGCTATAGATGTTCCCTTCCTAAGGAAGCTGCATAAAAAAGCAATAGTAATATGTGGCATGAAATCATTGTTTTGTTTGTATCCACTTAGAAAAGAAACTTCAGACATTTCTGATCCAGGATCTCCAAAATTATTTACCAGGAGAATGGAAACATGTGAACAAAAGCTGACATTAAACATAATATATAATGAGCAGATACTAGGAAAAAGTAAGCATTTATAGGCCCTAAGGGAAAGTGATTAACCGAATAGCCTAAAGATTTTGTAACAGTTGAAGGAGCTCAAAAATTATATTCTATATCAGATTGTAAGCTACTATCCTTAGGATTTTTGTTATTTGCCATCAATTCAGGTTTGACTTACAGTTATATTATCACATAAATTCAGAGAAGCAGAAAACAAGTCCTGAAGCACTATTTTTTGTTTAGACAGCGAATTGCAAAATATTACGTCCTGAAGTTTACAGCAAGACATGCTATGACGTCTGGTAGTATCAAAGCAATTTATCATACACAATTTGTTGTCAGAGTAAAGAATGAAATGGAATTGAAATACATGTTTATTTCATTTAACTAAACACTGTAGCATCGACCATAAGGATCGTCATTTGTATTTTTCCAGACTTGCCTCTTCAGTACCCATTTGTTTATATCTATGACTGTTGCTTTGTTTTTGGGAAGCACCAAGCCATGAGGAGACATGGGGAAGTCTGGGCTGAGAGCCTACGATACAGAAGGCCTGACTTGGACTGCATGGCCGGCTTGAGGCGCGTCTCTCTTAACTGCAATGCTCTTATTGGCGACCGAGGGGCTACCATTTTAGCTGAATGCCTTGGAGAGGACCTGTGGTTGAAAGGTGGGTGCCAAATCTAGAGCTAGGTGTAAGAATACCTCTTTAAACATTTGCCTATTTTGCAAGACTCAGTCCTGAGTACAGCGTGAAAATGTCAATATCTCTCTCTTTCTCTTTTTACTCCAACATGACCTTTAATCCTCATTCAGGCAGGTACAAAACCCTTCACTGCTTAATCTTATTCAATCTTCATCCATAACTTACAGCTTTTCAGATAAAAAATATTGTGAAAAACATGACTGGAGGACTGTAATATCAAATATCCTGGATGAAGGTTGAATACAATTTGGCATTAATGTTTTCTTGATGTTTACCTTTTTGAAATATTGGATCATAGGCCTTCAGAACTTCGTGATTTCTCTTCTGAATCAAATTGGGGGCAACTTTCTTTACCTTTCCTACCATTTCGCCAGGAGCAGCATCCGGGACAAAAACAAAACAAAAGGATCTAGTGAGAGATGCTATTGTGGGAAGTGAAGGCACTGTTTTACTGTCCTAGGCTGCAGGAATTATGCAAATAACTAACTAGTTAAATAAATAAATAAATGGAAAAAGTAAGGAGAGGTGCAAATTCAGAAGTCGCTTTGAAGGCCTGACTCCAATTTAAAGAATGAGTTCGCATTCCTGCAGACTGAAAGGAGTGGTAATCCACCCTGTTTGGGCCCAAAAAGGATCAGTTTATGGAACCTGAGAGGGTCTAGAGAGGGTCTAAAGCAGGCATGGGTAAATTTTCTAACTTGGGGGCCGCATGGCGGGCCAGACCAGGGAGAGTGGGCTGGGGTTCTCCCCCAGTCTCCTCCCTGTCTTTTCCTTCCCTTCCTCTTCTCTTTTGGAGGCAGAAAGTGAAGGAAAGACGGGAAACTTTTGCATCCTAGAAGGGTTGGCCTTGGTCAGGATGAGATGGTGGACAGGAGAGAAAAAGTATATCCATTAGACCCCAGATTGCCTACTCCTGATATAGAACGCTAGAATCTTAGAGTTGGGAGAGACCCCCAAGGGACATCCAGTTCAACCCCTTGCCATGCTGGGAGGCACAATCAAAGCACTCCTAATAGACAGCCTCTGCGGAAAAGCCCCCAGAGAAGGAGACCTCCACCACACTCCCAGGCACACTATGCCTCAAGGAAGTTTTTCCTAATCTTTTCAGTTGAATCTCTTTCCCTGCCATTTGAAATTATTGCTCCCTTGTTCCCTGGTCTCTAGAGAAGCAGCAAGGCAGTTTCCCCTCACCTCCTTCACCCTTTGATATCTTAAAACATTGTTCTCATGTTCCCTCTCTACCTTCTCTTCTCCTAGCTAAACATCCCCCAGGAGGAACGGAGAAGGGGAAGGAAGGAAGGCTGGAAGGGAATGGAGGGAGGGAGGAAAGAGAGAAGAGAAGAAAGACAAAAGGGAAGGAGGAAGGAAGGATGGATGAAAGAGTTGAAGGGAATGGAGGGTGGGAGAAAGAGGGAGGGAGGGAGGAAAGAGAGAAGGAAAGGCAAAAAGGGAAGGAAGGAAGGAGAAAGAGAGAGAGGGAAGGAGGGAGGAAGGGACCTGTCTATCTTCGTGATCGCATTTCCTTCTATGAACCGGTGCGAACTCTAAGATCTTCCAGGGAGGCCCTCATTTCTCTCCCACCACTGTCACAAGTACGATTGGTGGGGATGAGAGAGAGAGAGGGAGGGCCTTCTCGTTGGTGGCCCCCCGCCTCTGGAATGCCTTTCCAAGGGAAAAAAGACAGCCCCCATCCCTCCCCTCCTTTTGTAAGAGCTTGAAGACCTGGCGGTTTCAACAAGCCTTTGGGAACGACCAGTTCTAGCCCAGCCCCAAACATTGTTGAATATGGCCTTATACTTCCTAACTATTACCCCAGTCATCACCCTTTTAGGCCCTGGAAATGAGCAGCCACAGACCCATACCTGCTGTTACTATTAGCCTGTTACAGCATTGTACTTAATTCCCAGTCCCCTCATATTTTAAGTTTGCATTAGCCTCAACCTGGCCTTTTAATTGCTCTGAACAGACAGGATTATTTTTAATATATATGTGTAATTGTGATAATTTTATGCTTATGTTGTTTTCTTAATTTTGTTATGCTGTTTACTCTGTATGTTTTGTTGATGTTGCTTGGAAACCGCCCTGAGTCCCCCTCGGGGAGGTAGAGAAGTATATAAATAGAGTTTGAAAGAGGGAAGGAACAAAGGATGAAAGGGTGGAAGGAGAAGGAAGGTGGGAGAAAGAGGGAGGGGAGGGAGGAAGGAAAGAGAGAAGGAAGGAAAGACAAAAGGGAAGGAAGGAAGGAGAAAGGGAGAGAGGGAAGGAGGGAGGAAAGAGGGAATGAAGGACAAAAGGGTGGAAGGGATGGACGGAAGGATAAAAAGGGAGGCAGGGATGGAAGGGAAGGAGGAAAAAAAAGAGAAGGAAGGAAAGGATAGGATGGTGAGAGAGAGGAGGGCCTGAGAAAAGAGCTCAAGGGACCGCATCTGGCCTCTGGGTCTGAGTTTGCTCAGACCTGGGCTAGAGCCATAAAAACATCATATATACAGTCCCAGGATAGCATACTTTATTTGGCTTATGGTTCTGTTAACTTCAGCCCACTTCATCAAATGCATTCTTTGAAATCTATTTGATATTCTGTTAATGTCTCTAAATACTTGCAGGCCATTCCAGAATGGTAATGTTAAATCACTTTAATGTTCTAGCCCTTGACCTGCAGCAGTGTGGCCTTACCAACGAGGGAGCAAAATCGCTCTTTGAGGCCCTTAAAACTAATTCCACCCTTGTGGTTCTGGACATCAGAAAAAATCCGTTAGTAGGTTTGTATGTTTCTCTTTCATTGTCTTAAAGGGAGAATTGGAAAAGTGTAATAATTCCCCAAATCATGTTCCTTTGAGCTGAAATACTGAGAAAGGCCCCTTCCACACATCTGAATAAAATCCCACATTTTCTACTTTGAATTGGAATATATGGCAGTGTGGACTCAGATAACCCAGTCCAAAGCGGATATTGTGGGATTTTCTGTCTTGATATTTTGGGTTATATGTCTGTGCGGAAGGGTCCCGCACAGAGCACATGACCTGACCCTGAAGTCTCCCATCTTTAAAGCCTTCACATTTTCCTTCACAATCATTTAACTTGGAACAACAGCTAATCATAATACAGTAAGTGGCTAGTATCACGATCTCTAGTAAAGAACCAGTGCGATGTACTGTTTTGAATGCTCAACACTCCTGGAGGCCAGGGATTTAATCCCAGATCAGTCATGGAAATGCCCTGGGAGATTGGAGAAGGCTCACTCTCTCAGCCTCAGATGAAGGCCAGACAATACCTTGGATTTGCAGCAAGTAAGAATAATATATTTTTTTCGTCTCAGGAGTGACTTGAGAAACTGCAAGTCGCTTCTGGTGTGAGAGAATTGGCCATTTGCAAGGACGTTGCCCAAGGGATACCTGGATATTTTCCCATCCTATGGGAGGCTTCTCTCCTGTCCCCGCAAGAGAAGCTGGAGCTGATAGAGGGAGCTTACCCCGCTCCCTGAATTCGAACTGCCAACCTGTCGGTCAGCAGTTCTGTTGGCACAAGAGTTTAACCCATTGCATCACTGGGGGCTCCAGATAATGATAATTATTATAAACTTTATTTATATCCTGCCAGTATCTCCCCGAAGGGATTCAGGGCAGCTCACAAAAGCACTCAGTGGTGCAAACATAAAATACAACAAGTACATAAGCAAAATAACACAATAACAATAAAGTCCATATAGCAAATTACATAATTTATTTATTTATTTATTTATTTATTTACAGTTCTTATATTCCGCCCTTCTCACTCCGCAGGGGACTCAGGGCGGATTACAGTAAACACATATATGGCAAACATTCAATGCCAGTTTGACAAACAACATTTAACAGACAAATACACCGAGGCTATTTAACTTTTTTTCTGGCTGCCAGGGGAGCTGCTGCTTTTCATCATCCATCGACGACACCGATGAAGTTCTTCCGCATTCCACATTCCCCGGAGTCTTTTTTCTTTATGGCCTCATAAATTAGTTAAATTAGCAACACATTAAACATCATATAAAACCTTTACCAATTTAAAAGATTCATTAAAATGCAGCACTCATATAAAAGTAAACTATAATTAATATCATCACAACATTAGAGACTTTGCCCTCAAACCATATGTCAGGAATGCTTTGAGGGCAGGTCTCTAATGTGTGATGACAGAATGTGCTGAGGCTAAGTAAGCTAAGTAAGGACTAGGGCTGAGCTATTAAGACAGGCTGTTTCTTAATTTTAATGAGCTGATCTTTGATGCTAGGAGGTAGGAATAGGAATGGCTGCATGAATAACACATGATTTGAATTGTTGTTAAATAACATTGTGTAAATATCACCTTTTTATTATTCTTTCTTTGTAGATAATGCTTTGATGAAGAAAATAATTGAAAGAGTTCTTATGAATGCTGATGGAAACAATTTGGAGGTATATTCTAGAGGCAGACTTGGACTTTTATGTAAATGCGTATTAATTTTAGAAGTATATGTATCTTGTATTGAAATACCTCTACGCTATGTTTTTTCTCCTTTCCAGTACAAGTGGCTTCCATCACCATCTCCAAAAGATGTTAAAAATAAACCGAAAAAAAGAACGGTTGTCTTGGGAAATGGCAGGAAAGGAAAGGCTACCATTCGTATTGGTAATTATATTCATTTCCTTGATTTGGAAGTTTCAGGTTCATTAATAAATGTTAATTTCTTGACTATGGTTATAATTTGTATTGGGCTGCTGGTGGTTAAAATGGTGAAATAGTAAAACAATCAGTGACAGATTCTTAATGTGTTGCTTATTAAGATTGTCCTTAATGTGTTGCTTTTGAAATAACATATTAAACAGTGCTACCGTTATGATTTATCTTTGTGATGCAAGTGATATTGCAGTAGCAATGTATTTCAAACAATTGAGAAGATCAGCTCTCAATTTTCGTTCTGCAGCTGTTAAAAAATGACTGTCTCAGTTTGACAGACAAGAGAGGACCAGGTTTTTAACATTCTGAAATATGGGTTCCTGTGAGTTTTCGGAAGTTTATGGCCATGTTCCAGATGCATTCCCTCCTGAACATGGCCATACAGCCCAGAAAACTCACAGAAACCCAGTGATTTCGGCCATGAAAGCCTTTGACAATACATTGTGAAATATTTTTACCCCTTACAGTATCATGTTACTGTTAATTTGATCCTGTATAACTAAAAATTTAATTTAACCAACCTGGACACAGCATATTATTTGAGAACACAGAAATGCTGGACCACTCTCACAACCACCATGTCAGACTACACAGAGAAGCCATTGAAATCCACAAGCATGTGGACAATTTCAACAGAAAGGAAGAAACCATGAAAATGAACAAAATCTGGCTACCAGTATTAAAAAAACTCTAAAATTACAACAGCAAAACAACAGAGAGGAAACAATCAAGGACATCTAATCACCTCTCAACAAAAGATTGCCCCAGGCACTGCCAGGCCATCAAATGCTAATCAAGGTGGTCAGTTGAAACATTCACACCTAGCTCCAACAGACAAGAGTCTTTGTCCCACTCTGGTCATTCCACAGATATATAAACCCCTTTTCCTAGTTCCAACAGACCTCACTACCTCTGAGGATGCTTGCCATAGATGCAGGCAAAATGTCAGGAGAGAATGCCTCTAGAACATGGCCATATAGCCCGAAAAAAACCTACAACCCAAAAATGTAATTTCCTAACCATCCATTGTCCCTTTTAAAATAATGATGTGACTATGTAAGTGTTAACTATTTCCCTTCCATCTCTTTCAATTCAATCCTGCACAAATTTCCATGAAAATAAGTCCCATAGCACACAACAATACTTTCGTTGGGTAAATGTTCATATAGATGAGACATCTCCAATTCCAGGCATTTGAAGCTGGTGCAGAGAAGCAGTGCCCTGTATTGGCAGGCAGCCATCTTTATCGTTGAAGTCAAAGAAAACAGCTGGGGTTTATTTTACCAGCAAACAGCAGAAAACATACTTTAATTGTCTGTTGCCAGCCATGGCCAATGTCAAAGATGGCAGTGGAGTAGATAAGCTTGGTCTCATTTTGACAAGTGGATAGCTATGGTGCTTCAGGACCATCATTCATTGCTGCATTGCCTGAGCTTCTCAATTTGCTTGAATCAAAAAGGAAGACATGAGACTTTCCTGATATGTTTTGGACCCCTTATCCACATTGTAACTGCAAGGACAATTGCCACTCTTTCTCCAGCTCCATGTTAGGGAGGAAGATGGTGGCTCCTTGTTTTAATTGGCAAAGGGTAATGAGTCAAGGTGGTGGCAGCAAATGGAAACATGGTCTGCTGTGCTAGACTGAAGTCTGAAAAATATGGGGTTGTTATACTGTTTTACTACCCCAGTGGTTCCCAAACCACCAGTGGTCTGCAAGAACAAAAATATGGTCTGCACCATTACTACACAGTTGTCTCAAAACCACGCAGCAACGAGAGTGAGTGGTATCATGAAACCCTCTCATAGTGCCAAGTCAATGGGGATGTCGGGAAGGGAGATGCTGGCTACCCATGAAGGATTACTACAACCAAATCAGCTCTAGATTATTAAATATGGTTTTCTGTGTGAGAGCAGTTGGCGACTACTGGATGGCATATGTTCTGTATCAGAAACTAGAGCTGATAAAGTCTGTCCAATGCAGTTTTCTGAATCAGCACCCCAAATAACCAAACCAGATCTAAAGTTGACCAAAACCGATTCATAACCCGCTCGGTACTAATGTTGGAGAGTGGTCCCTGGTCAAGTGTTCCCCGGTCAAAAACGTTTGGGAACCACTGTACTACACAGACTGTGAAAGAGCTTTTATTGCCCTTGAGACTGAAAGAGAGATGTTAATATCCTTTGTAGACTTACATCTATGAAAGCTTATGCTACCAACCTCTCTCTCAGTCTTACATGTAATACAGAAAGGCTCAAACCTTTCTATTCAGGCAGGCTTTTAAAGATTAAGGTGTTTCAGATCAATTCAGGAGCGCTGTTGTTTTTAATTTTGAATTTGTTTTAATGGTTTCTAAAAAAATTTAATACTGTCTATATTTAATCCTGTTTTAATGTTTGTATCTTTGTATATTGAGTGGCACAGTGGGGTAAACTGCTGAGCTGCTGAACTTGCTGAACGAAAGGGTGGCTATTTGAATCTGGGGAGCGGGGTGAGCTCTTGCTGTTAGCCCCAGCTTCTGCCAAATTAATATTTCAAAAACATGCTAATGTGAGTAAATCAATAGGTACTGCTTCTGCGGCTTCTGCCAAATTAATAGTTCAAAAAACATGCAAATGTGAGTAGATCAATAGGTACCGCTTCTGCGGGAAGGTAACAGTGCTCCATGCAGTCATGCTGGCCACATGACCTTGGAGGTGTCTACAGACAACGCCAGCTCTTCGACTTAGAAATGGAGATGAGCACCAACCCCCAGAGTCTGACATGACTAGACTTAATGTCAAGGGGAAACCTTTACCTTTACTGTGTACTGAATATTGAGTTATATTACATTTGACTAAAAAACAAAGCTCATTCTCAAGCTTTCATTGTAATCATTGGATTTGTTAGATTAGGGATTGCTTATGCTATCTGTTTTGCAGATTTCATAGATTACATTATTTTAGATATGTAATGCAAGACATGTGCTATAAATTAAATATCATTTTAAATAAATATGAGGTTTTAGGTGACATGGAAAAACCTAAAAGTAATTGCACTGTGCTCTCATTTAATTTATCTTATGTGGCTGTTTTTCCAATATCTGCTTCAGTAATTTGGAGACACAAAGGTAAGCATACGAAATAGCACACCCTGTAAAATTTCAGGAAAAAAGGCTTCAGATCTCTATAAATGGGGTTTTCTTCCATGTAAAGATGAATTGATTTCTTAAGAATGTCTAGCTGTAAGCATACCAGTGGAGTATACATGATAGCCATGTATAAATATGTGAGGGAAAGTCATAGGGAGGAGGGAGCAAGCTTGTTTTCTGCTGCCCTGGAGACCTACTACCTGTTCGCAAGATCCAGTTTATTGGAGCGGTCCTGGATTCAATCCAACAAAAGGCGTTTCTGCCGGAGGACCGATTTACGTCCCTCAAGTCATTGGTTGCGCGTGCTTTAAGCTCAAAGAAGGTGTCAGCAAAAAGAATCCAGATTTTATTGGGGCACATGGCATCTACGACTGCCGTCACACCTTTTGCCCGACTACGTCTAAGGCCCATCCAGAACTGGTTCCTGTCCGTATTTCGCCCTGGTCTGGACAACCCCCATGTGCGGTTTTGTATTCCAGAAAAAGTACGGCGCGCTCTGTTGTGGTGGACGGAGCCGGACAATGTAACTGTGGGCTTGCCATTTCAGAGTCCCGATCCGTCGGCTGTTGTTACGACGGATTCCTCCCTAAAGGGTTGGGGAGCACATTTCGAGGGTTTGACCGCACAGGGTGTTTGGACTCCAGAGGAGTCAGAGTACCACATAAATGTTCTGGAGCTATTCGCCGTAGAAAAGGCGCTAAAATCGTTCGAGATGGCGTTGATGGGCAGGGTAGTGCAGGTGGTAACGGACAATACTACGACAATGTATTACATAAACAAACAGGGGGGAACGAGGTCGCAAATCCTGTCAAGTCTGACCATACGCATCTGGGAGTGGTGCATAGCCAGAGGGATACACCTAGTGGCTGTTCACCTCCCAGGGGAGGAGAACATACTAGCGGACAATTTAAGCAGAACCCCCATGTCCAATCACGAGTGGTCTATCAATCGCGAGGAACTCAATATGATCTTCAAGATCTGGGGATTTCCAACAATAGATCTATTTGCGTCACAGGAGAACACAAAGTGTTCCCTTTATTGCGCCCGCAGGAGGGCGGATCTGGAAAAGGGATGCCTAGGGGATGCATTTCTTCGCAAGTGGAACACCGGATTCCTGTATGCGTTTCCCCCATTCCCGTTACTCCCGAAAGTTCTCTCAAAGATTCGGAGAGACAGAGGGGATTGTATTCTGGTGTCGCCATGGTGGCCTCGCCAACCATGGTTCTCGACTCTCCTCGAGATGTCCAGGGGGAGGTACAGGCGATTTCCAATCAAAATAGATCTCCTAACATCACAGAACGGGCAGGTTCTTTATCCGGATGCCCATATGTTGAGACTGACTGCTTGGAGGATTGCTCCAGACAGTTAGGATCTTCTGTGCCCTTGTCTGCCTCAGTTAAGGCAATTCTAGACGCAGCACAAAAGGCTTCTACGAAGCGCTCATATGTGTATAAGTGGGCCCGTTATTCCCGGTATATGAAAGAGAGGAATCTAGACCCGATAAATGCCCCGATTTCGGATATTTTGGATTTTTTAGTTTCATTGTCTGACTCGGGTTTGGCTTTATCTTCCCTGAAATGTTACCTGGCGGCCATATCGTGGTATAGGAGGAAGGAGGGGCTGCCCTCCCTCTTTTCGGTATATTTGGTTAAGCTTTTCCTTAAGGGGTTTGGTAATGTTAAGCCAGCAGTCACTCCAATTATTCCCTCGTGGAGTCTGGAGGTCGTTCTTTCGTCCCTTCAAGGTTCGCCATATGAGCCCATGGCCACTTGCGATATTTCGCATCTTTCCTGGAAAACCTCCTTTTTAGTGGCAATAACATCGGCCAGGCGTGTTAGTGAGATCTGTGCGCTTAGGTCGGATGAACCTTACCTCCGGTTCCACAAAGATAAGGTTGTGCTCCGCACGGACATTACCTTTCTTCCCAAGGTGACGTCAAGCTTCCACATGTCCCAAGACATTGTTTTACCAGCTTTTTTTCAGGCTCCTACTTCGCCTATGGAACGAAGTCTCCATTTGTTGGATGTACGTAGAGCGGTGGCTTTTTATCTCAGTAGAACTAAGGATATGAGAAAAACGCCAAGACTATTTGTGAAATACAGAAATGTGGTCTCCCCGTGTCGTCACAACGCCTATCATCATGGATAGTTTCTGTGATTAGGTTGGCCTACAAAAATTCGGGACGTGAGCTTCCTGTTGGTGTGAGGGGTCACTCTACGAGAGCAGTGTCCACTACAGCTGCATTTTGGAAGGGCGTATCCCTAGATGCCATATGTCGTGCTGCAACCTGGTCTACTCCGTTGACGTTCGTGTCACATTATAAGCTGGATCTGAAGGCCAAGAAGGACGCAGCGTTTGGTCGTGCAGTGCTTTTTTCTGCGGTGGCATGACTCCCGCCGTCCAAGGTGGGTAGCTCGCTAGTCTTTTACCATTAGTGCGTATTCACAGCACACTCACGTAGGGAAAATGAGAGGTTGCTTACCTGTAACCGTAGTTTCCCTAGTGATGTGCTGTGAATTCGCACGGCCCCGCCCATCCTCCCCGCAATTTGTCATGCCTCCTCTTTCTGGCTGCATTAGCGGCGGAAGAGATCTGGAGGCGGTTGACCGGCCGCGGTCTATTTATAATGTACAGGGGAGCGTGCGCGGGGCCAACCGCCGATTCCTTTTAAATTTTTAACTGAAGAGTCCGAGTGATGCCTGATGTTTCTCCGTCGGCTGCTCCTGCAATTCCTAGGAGGGTCGATCTTCTATACAAAGTTGACTTATCATTAGCGAGTTGGATCGCTCATCCCACATCACCAAATACGGTGGTGGCGGAGGCAGCTAGGTCAAAAAGACCTAAGAAGTATTCTGTAACACCACCAGATAAGGAGGGCAAAAAGATTGACTCCCTTGGAAAGAAAATACATGTGGCTGCAGCATTGTTTGCAAGGATGGCACACTATGCCACTTATTTCAGTGGATACCAGAGTTTTCTCTGGAAAAATATGCTGCCCTATATCAATCTCCTGCCATCTGAAGACCGTCGTCTTCCTAGGGCATATCAGGCTGAGGCACTTATTCTTTCTAGATTACAGAAGGACTTTGCCAAACATATGGCTGAGACATCGGGCAAGCTTTTTGCTTCTGCCACGGCCATACGACGACACGCGTGGCTTCGTGCTTCCACGCTGTCTGAAGAAAGCCGTTTGTTGGCGGAAGACCTTCCAATGACTGAGGAAGGTCTTTTTGACCCAACAACGGATGATAAGATTAAACACTCACGGGAGGTTTTGCAAGCAGCCAAATATCCTTACCAATACCCTTACCCATGGCAGCCAGGTAACTTTCATAAGCCTCGCTGGCAGCAGACTCCACCCACTTATCATAGAGCGACCTTTGGTGGGTATAATTCAAATCAGGGCAATCGGAATGCTTCATCGAAATTCCAATTTGGCCGGAAGCAAAATTATAATGCAAAGTCCAGGTATCAACCATACCAGACTAAGGCGAAGGCCGCAGGTAGTACAAGACGTCGTCTTTGACGAATCTGATGTTTTTGATATCCGCTGCCCCAGGGATAGTCTATCTGATTTATCTAAGCCTGTTAGTTATATTTGGTTCAAGGATAGACTTCGGCCTTTTGCTCAAGCATGGGCTGCGATTACGACAGATAGGTGGGTCCTCCAAATAGTAGAGGAGGGTTATTTTATAGAGTTTACTTCGTTGCCCCTGTTGGGATGTTTAAAGGTTACTCCAGAGTCTCCAGCCTTACTGGAAGAAGTTGAAACTCTCCTAGCAAAAGGAGCAATTTCCCCTGTTGACATTTCTATGTTCACTGGATGTTTCTTTTCTCGTTACTTTTTGGTAACCAAGAAGGGGGGTGGTTTGCGTCCTATCTTAGACTTGAGGGGAGTGAACATGTACATTGAAGCAAAGAAATTTCGAATGGTGTCTCTTTCTATGATCCTTCCTCTTCTAAATAAAGATATTTGGTTCGCAACCATAGACTTAAAGGACGCATATTTCCATATTTTCCTTACGTAGTCCCTGCGAAGCATACAATTGATAATCTCTGCGCTCGTGCAGCAGCATTCGGAACCTTCCAATTTAAAAAGAATGACAGTTAGAGTAGGCCACGCCCCCTCCCCCTAGTATATATAGCCCGTGGGCGGGGCCAACCGTCAGTTCTCTTCATCCGCGCTAGAACAAAGCAGCGGAGAACCTTTTTTCTCTAGCGAGCAAGATTAGTGTTTAAAGACTTGAGTATATTACCTGCTTCTTGCCAATCATGGCAACGAGTTCTTTTAAAAAATGCATAAAATGTCCTAACATTTTGCCGGACAATGATGGCCATGAGCTTTGCCTCGCCTGCCTTGGTGAAGCTCACTTGTATCAATCCTGTTCGGTCTGCCAAGCTTTCACTCCACAGACCAGGAAGAACAGGATCTTGAGACTGAAGGCAGCTCTTTATGAGAGAGCACTCTTGCCTTCTTCAGATCCAATTAAGATCGATCCGCCAGAGGCAAGCTCTGGGACGTTAATTAAGAAGAAAGTTAAAAAAATCAAGGACAAAGCTTCCCAAGATGGCCGAGTGGCCGTGGGTAAGAAATCGGCCGCACATGAGGGAGCGGCAGCTCATCTTTCAAAAGCCCCTTCATCGAAGCCGAAGGACAATGCTATGGGTCCTCTAGTGGCAGAGAAAAATGTTGCAGCCACTCCGGCGCAGGAGAGGCACGAGGGGGAAGCGAGGCCATTTAGACTTACCCCTCCTATGCCGATTTTGTCGCCCAGCCAGCCTCTTTCAATGGCTGACGAAGTTGCCTCAGCTCCAGAAACAGCCGTGCCTCGCTTGGTACCCACACATCGGCAGGCAGAGGTCCAAAGACGGGCTCCAGCCGATATCGGCAGCCTCCCGGCACGCCAAGCGGTTAGCTCCGATACCGAGGCTAGAGAGTGTTTTGAGCGCGCATGCGCAGCTCAGCCCGCAGCGACAGA